GGGGGAAGGGGGAAGGGAAAAAAGGGGGAAGGGTCGAGAGTTCTTAAAAGATTGGTATTTTATCAGCTGGTGCAAGGATTTGCACTGGGGGACAATTCTTTAAATGGAGATTTGATTGGTCGCCAGGAGTCGTCGACTGTCGGAAAATGGCAGCGGTCTCATATCATGCATTTATTGGCATGTCCTTCCTCATGTGGTTTTGTGTTATTATTATTCTGTTAAAGTCTATAAAACATATGTATCAGTCGGTCATTATCATTATGTGGCTGTGCGGAGGCGATGACAGGTGTAGTTTGTGGTGTTGCAGTCTGAATGCAAGAGTTCGTTGTCTGAGAGAGGAAGGGTGGGGGGTTGGGGGAAGGGAGGTTGTAATTGCTCGAGTGGGGCGGGATCGGGGGGGGGGGGGGAGGAGGTGAAGTGAAGAGAGAAGAGAAGGAGAGAGGAGCAGGGACGGGGAACGATTGGGTGGCGATCGCAAGTCTCTTTATGTACTATACCGGCTACCCAGTAGTCTGTAAACTTAGTCTTTAAACTCCTCTTCTCTTGTGTTAGTTGTTGTGCCCTTTTTTTTTTGCTGCTTCAACTTTTTATGTGCATCTAGTGAGGACTGGACTTGGTCAATCCTTGAACGAGTGACTTGTCTATTTGTTCGCGAAGGGCAGAGGAGTTATTCGATTATGGAAACGTTACAAAATTTTCCTTTTTTTTTTTTTTTTTTTTTTTTTTTTTTGTTTTCAAGGTTTTCCTAATTTGGTATGTTCTAGAATACGCCAGTGAATGATGTTATGCATGTGGTGCTTTCATATGGTCTAATGCGGGGCTGGCTCCATGCAAGGGACAGTGGGAGGGGAAAATAAAAGTGCATGGCAGTGTCTATCGGATCTTTTTTTTTTTTTTTCCTTCCTTTTTTTTCCCTTCCTTTTTTTTTTTCCTTTTTTTTTTTTTTCCCTTCGGATCAAGTACATTTCAGCAGGGCAGGCAGGGGGGAGCGAGGGAAGGGTTAAGAATGAAAGGGGGAAGGAAGGGTGCTGCCGTCGATCGCATGACTTTCTCCGGAACTTAGTGGAGTAGGGGGACATTTTTGCCCGTTAGGTATCTGGTCCTGATCCTGGCAATGTTCAGGGGCATTCCTGAGGACTGTGTGATGTCCAGGCTTGAAGACCAGAGTAGCTTGGGCATCTAGTCGTGCTCTGCGAAACATCGTATCTGGCTATAGGCTAACAGCCGGGGCGCCTGGGTCACCTTTTGTTTGTCTGGGCGGCCCGGCCGTGCAAGGACCAAAGAAGGCCCCATAAAAAAAAAAAAAGAAAAAAAAGAAAAGAAAGAAGAGGAAAAAAATTATGTTATGCAGAAAAATAAATTGAACAACTTTTGCCTCAGGGTCGCATCGAAATTCTTCACCAAATTTAAAATGAAAAGCAAAGTAAAATAAGTCAATTTTTTTATTATCTTTTTTCTTTTTTTAAGTCTTTTTTGGCCTGGCCGGTCACGTGGTCCCAGGCCACTCTACTCTCGTAGCGTAGTCTAGCTGAGCAGTCTATTTAGGTGTTTTTTTTTTTTTTTTTTTTCATTTTGTGTGTGTGTTTTCTGTGGCTTTTGTTTGTTTCTTTTTTCCGCTCGTAATTGGAGCGGATGTGTTTTAGTCTTTTAGATATGAAAAATTTCTCCATTATGTCTGCTCCTTGTGCCACATTTGGGGATGTGCTGTCCTTATCCATCTGACGCATCCATCTTTTGGTGGTTTTGCCCGTGTGTTGGTTGTTGTCAGACGGTGCGAGACAAGTGCTTTGCTAAATGTGTTACAAAGCCAGGCAGTAGTTTGAGCAATTCGGAATCGAGTTGTATTTCAAGATGCGTTGATCGGTACATTGAGGCGACCGGAGTTGTGTCCAGAGCAGTTGTGTCTGGCCTATCAAGGCAATAATAATAATAATAATAATAATAATCAGAGTCAGGCAGGCAGGCAGGCAGGGAGGCAGGCAGGCAGGCAGACATGCAGATCGATGGAGTGCCGTGGGCGTGTTTGCACTTTTTTTGCTTCGGTAAAGACAGTTCATTCTGTGATTGAGTGGTTTCTTGCATGTCTGGCACCCCTGACTTTTTGAAGTTGTCGCCTTTTTTAGTTTGGTTTATCCGTGTTTGCGTGTCTTCCGCTCTGGTGATGGCCTTTTTGCTGTGTTGAAGTCGGTTGCACTTTCGGTTGCCCTTTCCTCTGTGTGTTTCATCGTCTTCCATTTATCTCTTTTTTTTTTTTTTTTTTTTTTTTTTTCCAACAACCTCTGCCAGTGCTAGTGCTGCTGGTACGAGCAGTCACCACTAGCACCCAGGGGGAGGCTCCATCTATTGGTGGGGAGCATCACCTGCTGGAAAGCGGGTCCAGCGTCCCATATACAAAACATGTGTACATCATATGCAAAGTATGATTATGTGGCCTGTCAGCATTGATTTCCTTGTCTCTTAGGGGATTGACTGCGCAGGTACATAAGGCCCAAGAAGACTAGCTGGATTAGTAGTAAGGCCTTTGTGGGGCCTTTGTACATCTTAACACGCTGGAAACCAGAGAATTAACTGAGCAGGGTACTGAAACCCGGGGGGGACCACTTCACCCTACATCAGGCTACCACTATACTTCCACCTGCCAGCCCCTACTCCCATTCAATCCATTCAAAAATATCCACAGGTAGATCGCGTGGGTGTGAGAGGGGAATGGGGAGGCAGGTTCTGTACCCAGCGGGCGACTGGGGCAGAAGCCAAGTCCTCCTATTCCTTTTCTCACTCCTGACTGATCTCCCCCTGGTTGTGATGGATGGGCGCCCCGGTATCCCTGCCAAACCAGCTTAGTTCGACTAAGGTGTTGTGTGATGGGGGGAAGAGATCAGGGAACTCCGATGCCGGGGGGAGTGGGATGTCACTGGAGATCTCAGTCCATTTATGAAAAAGCAGTCGATAATCCTTCTGAGATTTATCTAGGCGATCGTTGCCATCTAACAGCCAGCCGTCCCATTGTATCCATGCAATCCGTCCCCCTTGTGGGCCCCCCAACTATTCCATGCAGAATTTGTTTAGCTTTTGTATAATGTCAGTTCTTTTTGTGAGAGCTCTCATTTCTTGTGTCGTTTTCTTCCAGTGAGCTCTAATTACTGTTTCGATCCTGTCTTTGATCATTTCCAATGTTTCACCATTTGCCACGTGGGCATTTTCAAGTACAAGGATGCATTTGCGTCGCCAAATGGCCCATGGTACCGCTCCCCTCCTAATCCTAAATAAGTTAGCTGTGAAAGACGAGGATTGGGCAGGCCAGTGACCGGTTAGCAGGGCCCTCCATTCCCATGGCCAGTCTTTGTCAGTTTCTAAATGGTTCCAGATCCTGACCCAACCACGCCATGTAAGAATAGAGGCAGGGCATTGAAGAAAGAGGTGCTCACTTGTCTCATTGGACTTTCGAGAGGGGAAACCTTCCTTGCATGCATGGCACCAAGGAAGCGCCACCCCTTTCTGCTCCAGGTGGGTACGATCAATGAGCCACACATTCGTTGGAAGGCAACGATGGTTAATCTGTCATTGAAGCGACGCAGACATGGCTGGTTTATTTTTCACCTCGTTGAACCATTTAATGGGTCGCAGATAATCCATTGGAGCATTGAGGTGTTGCGCCCAGCGATCAATGATACGATCTAAGGTTTATTCTGGTCCTGAGCATCCGATAGGTGGCCTTTACTTCAAGTGTATGGAAGTGTACCGGTATCTAGGTCTTCCATTTTGTGTTGGGATCTTCCATCTCCATTCTGCTATGTCCATGGGGAGATCCTGGATTGGCACCTCTGGCCAAAAGGCCACCCAGGATTCGTTCATATTTACGACTCTGATTCTGTGAAGTGTCCTAACATCCATCCAGAAGACATCGTCCGGCACCCCTCTAATCAAGTGATTCTGTTGTGTTCAATAAAACAGATTAACCAACGCCTCTCCCGGTCTAACTGCAATTACTTGCCCCACCCGGGTTGCGTCCCCACTTGGCACGACCCAATCCCCTTCCACTATATTTGGCCCCCGGCGAAGAGTCTGCACCCATGCAAGTGGGAGGGCAAAGAGGATCTGGTCTGGTCTTTCCCCAACCCTATGGCAGTGGGGGAGCTTCTCTCTCAGCTGTTCCTCTGAAAACCAGTCATCTCTCTTCTGTCGCTAATTTGTATTATGGCCAACCTGGAGCGGTGTAATGTCCACTTCTTCTGGAGCTCGCCACTCCAGCAGCCAGGGCAGGGCTACTTTAAGAATGGTTTTGCCGAGTCGTTTGGACCTATATCCCCCCCACCAGTATTCCCCCCCATGTTCCCCATGCACCCCCACTTCCCTC